TTTTGATTTTTTGTTAGAAAATGGATATATGATGTTAGATCTACTAGTTTTAGGTAAAATCCAGTTGAAAACAAGTTAAAATACAGTAAAAACGAGCTAAAATACAGTAAAACGAGCTAAATGTGGCTGGCCGCCATTTTAAAGGGTTGGAGAGAAACTTGGTCATGTAGAGAAGATGAAGAGTAAATTACGATTTTACCCTTTATTGAATAAATCTACCACAACTATAAATAAATCTACTACATATTATAAATCTACCACTATTATAAATAAATCTACCACATATTATAAATCTACCACTACCACGACTATAAATAAGTTTACCACATATTATAAATCTACCACTACTATAAACAAGTCTACCAACTGAATGTTGTTTTAGTAAAGAAGTGAAAAGATTGAATAAATCTACCATTACAATAAATAAGTCTACCACATATTATAACTCTACCACTAGTRTAAATAAGTYTACGATTRCGYGAACCATCAATAAGTCTAYCGATCACAAAATAACTCTACCACAACTACTAATAAGTCTATCACTCAAAAAATAAATCTACTACTGTAAATAAATTTACGATCGCGCCAACCATCAATAAGTCTACCGATCACAAAATTAACTCTACCATCACTACAAATAAGTCTACCGATCACAAAATTAAATCTACCACTATTACAAATAAGTGACCACAATTTATAAATCTACCACCACTATATATAAGTCTACCATTGTGCGAATCATCAATAAGTCTACCAATCACAAAATTAACTCTACCACTACCACTAATAAGTCTATCACTCAAACATAAATCTACCACTACTATAAATAAATCTACGGCTGCGCAAACCATCAATAACTCTACCGATCACAAAATTAACTCTACCACTATTGTTAATAAGTCTATCACTCCAAAATAAATCTATCACTACTGTAAATAAGTCTACCATTGTGCGAATCATCAATAAGTCTACCGATCACAAAATTAACTCTACCACTACTGCTAATAAGTCTATCACTCCAAAATAAATCTACCACTAGTGTAAATAAGTCTACCATTACGCGAACCATCAGTAAGTCTAACGATCTCAAAATTAACTCTACCACTACTACAAATAAGTCTACCGATTAGAAAATTAACTCTACCACTACTACAAATAAGTCTACCACAGATTATAAATCTACCACTATTATAAATAAGTCTACCATTGCGCGAACCATCAATAAGTCTACCAACCACTTAATAAATCTACCAATCGCAAATAAGTCTACTATCACATGAACGGTAGACTTATTCGGTTTTGGCAGAAAAATTTTGCTGCCTCATTAATGGCAGTTTCGTAAATACGTTTTTTCTCTTCAAAAGAAATAAGATTAAAACGGATATTAATAGTTTTTCAAAGTTGTTTGAGTAATATCAAAGAATAGCATTGTTTTAATCAAAAATCAATTTTTTAAAATTGTTTTAGTAAAGCTCCCAAAGTTGAAAGTTATTCATCTATATTTATTCCACTCACGCCTATTCATTTTATTCATCTGCGTAACAACCAATTGCACCCTAATAAATCGACCAACTAAAACCCGTTTTCAAAGAATGTGAGTTTTTCTTCTTCTTTAAATGGTTGTTACAACAACAAAATACAAACAAATGATACAATGGCACACACATATGTTATCACTTCAATTCCCTGCTTCTAAGCTTTAGAATTACCCCGATGATCCTTATCGATATGTTTCAATAGATCCACCGGATCACGAAACCCTCTGCTGCATTTCGGACAAACATCAACCGTAACTTTACCACTATTATGTTTTCCATTCCTCTCCTGCGTTTTCTCAACATTACCATCGCTTCCACTCGAAAACTGTAACTTCTGGCTAATATCGTTACCGAGCTTGCTAAAACTCGCTTCTGCAGAAGATAAAAGACTAGACCATCTCGAAGATGATGAAGAAGACGCAGGAGCTTCTTTTGTGTTTGTAGTCAAGAAACCCATGAATGAGAAACTCGAATCAGGTTTCTTCGGTCCAGAACAACTATGATCAGGTCCAAACCGATGTTTCAAGCAATGATCGATGCTACAATCTCGACATTTGATAGTGTTAGAGAATGTTAGCGATTCTCTGCATCTTGGAACAGGACATTTCTTCTTCTTGACAGTCTTTTCGTAGTTTGATGGATCACAATCTGTATTCACATGTTTCTCCCAAGTTATGTTTGGATCTTCGTCAGGGTTTAATCGAACTCCTTTCGCGCATAACGGACAGATAACCACAGTGACATCTCCTCTGTTTCCTTTTGGACAATTGTGTTTCATATAGCTTCGATGATCC